TCGATCTTACTTGCCAAACGTTCCGGAATTTCTTTATGCGTAGAATCTACATAAATGTACATTTCGAGGTAATCATTAGATACCTACACCTTTTAATTAGATACTAGCAACTTAAACGAACTTATTAAACCAATATTCCCATTTTTCCTTTAGGGGGAATCGGTTCCCTACTGAGGGGGTATCGATTCCCTCATGACATTCTGGAAATTTTGTCGTTTGAAGGGGTATCGGTTCCCCTTGAATGGGTACCGATTCCCCTTGCCCAGAAATCATTTTCAACCCGAAAATTACTTTATTTCCTCTCAAACACTTCATATATCATCCCCTTTTCATTCTTAACTCTAGTACACATACTTAAACCAATCTATATTCATTTATTTCATCTTAAACCTCAAAATCCTATATTCCATACGAGATTCAAAAAAATCATACCAAATTTTCAATGTGTTCTAATTCCAATTCTAACACTTTATACTTCTTAATTAGATTGATGACAAGTCAAATTCATCCTTATAATTTCAAAAACCTTTCTATATCAAAACTTCATTTCTAATCTTTTAATAGAAATTCCTTTCTAATTCTCCCTTCTTGATGTTTTAAGTTTATACAAGCTTTCCTTAAGCTTATATAACCCCCAAAGATTCAAAACCAACTTATAAATTCCAGAAATTAACAGTTAAAAATCAAACTTACCTTTAAGCTGGAGCTACGAGAAGAAGAAGAAGAGAGCAAGAAGAAGGCTTCCAGAACTCTCTCAAAACCCACGTATATCACCTGTATTTAAAAGGAAATACAAAATATCCTTTAATCTGAAAAGACTAAATTACCCCTTTAATTATCCATCTATGCTATTCAATCCATCATCAAAATTCTTTACTTAAATCCCAACACTTTTAACTTATTTCAAAATTGAGCACACAGTTTCCAAAATTTACATTTTAGTCACTGATCCGGCTTTTGGGGATGTTACACGGCAGCATCTGGTAATGGAAAGGCGGCGACATCATATATGGTTGCGGTATCATAAATGGCTGCGGTGGCTGCTGTGAAGGTCCTGCTGGTGCAACTGAGGATGAACCGGAAGCACCTGCTCTCCGTCCACGAGTCGGGGGACGATAGTGCCGTGTTGGTGAACGTCTCTGTCTACGTTGCGGAAAGGTATGCCCTCGTGCATCCTCAGGAAGCAGAAACGGTTTCCCGTTATTGTTGAACCACTCATAATAACCTTCAGCAACACTCAAGAGGTCAAGTAAAATGGGCTCTCTACGGGGAAGGCGCCGTTGTCGATCCTCCCACAACACGACCCACTTATGATGCCTCACCAGCCAATCTGTATCTATCTTACCGCGTCTATCTAAGCTATGCAACTCGTCCATATTGCGAGGTGCTTCCGGAATTGGTTAAAAACAACCAAACTGCCGGAGCACGCGATCAGTAGAGTGTCACTCGACGGTCGCATAACGGATCAGAGGGACCATCGCCATCCAAACATCTGATGGGCCCCTCAACTCAAGTGGGATCATCGCCCTCACATCATCAGTACAATATGGCACCCATTCAAACTAAAACAAATATTATATAATTTTTTATCAAAATAATAATCTAATTATATAACTATAATCTAAAATCAATTTTTAAACATTAAAATTCATACATGTGTGTCAGCATTCTGATCGATTAGCACCCTAATTTTTTCTAAATCATCATGTAGCTCATGATGATTTTTCCTATCAGTAAACCACCTATTCAAGGAAAAAAATTATTATACGTTGTATAAAATTATTAATATACAAAATCAGTTTTATAATTACCTCAGAAGTAGTGGAAATACGAATGGGTTATTCACAACGGGACATAAAAAGTGCAATCGATACCATGCCCAAGACTGCAGCAGCAGGAGACATCCGCCGATAGCATTACACCTGTAGTCAGTGGCTCCACACATCTCTATGTACAGCAAAGCCAAAACTGTCGAGTCCCAACTGAATGATCCGGCCAGACGAAAGTCGCTAAGATGTCGCAACCACAAGCAGTGAACTAGGTTGCGTGATTTTTTCGGCATCAGCAACCCTCCTATCAATTGCAGTATGCATGCCCGTGCATACATCTTAACTTCATCCTCAGAGGCGTCTGCGCTCAACTCCCGAAAATTGGCATCTAACCAATTTAACGGTATCCTACCTCCGATAAAACTTTCCGGGACGCGTCCTAGATTATCCTGGCACAAAGTAGTCCATGAACCCTACGAGATCCCTGATATCACATCTCCATCCACCGGAAGCCCTAGGTGCATAGCAACATCCTCAAGTGTAATCGTGCCTCTCCGCACGGAAGATGAAATGTGTGGGTCTCCGGCCTCCACCGCTCTACTAAGGCATAAATAAAGTATGGTTCTATCTTAGAGTGACCCTGATATCTACCTATGTAACCAAATCCAACATCTACTAAATACGGCAAGACACGACTAGTTATCACTAACTTAAGATTCCTAATAAAATGATCTAATACACGGTCATTCTCCTAAAATTAAATAATTATACAAATTAATTCTTAATCTAATAATCATGCATTAAATAAATCAACAATTTATTACAAATAATTTAAATTAAATTAAAACGTTAAAATATTATCATATCAGCAAAGTGTCGAGATATATGATTTTCATCCAAGCGAAGTAGACCGTCTTCCATTATATATCTGTAAAAAAATTATATTAGTAAAATATTAAATAAAGTAAAATACTTAAATAAATTAAATACATAATATTAAAAATATTATAAAATATACCTTAAATAGAGAGAGTATTTAAGAGAATTTGAGAGAATATAGTATGATGAAAGTGATAAAAGAGGGGGTATTTATAGGGACGGTGGGGGTAATTAAAGGTATAACGCGCCCCCTGTATCGCGCTATACCTCAACTGTCAGATAAATAGCTATAACGAGGATCAGGAGGCGCGCTGTACCCATGTATAAGTCATGTCAACGTATAGTGCGGTACAGTGTGTGCGCTATACCCCACGTGGCGCCAAATCAATATATAGTGTGGGACAGGAAGCGCGCTTTACTGCTACAGATGTTAAATCGAAAAATATAATATAATCGATATTAGATCGATAAATATACCAGTCACCAGTAATTTTTCGAGAAAAACACCTATTTAAAGAGTGTGACGGTGGTCTTGAAAAACTCCAATGGTGGTGTGGTACGGTTCTGGTGGTGACGTGATAGAGCTTTTTTCTCTCTTAAAATAAATATCGAGAGCATAAAGGCGACGAGGCATGAAGTTTTTTACTAAAATAAAAGTTACTTTTTATTAAAATAATTAATAATTTATTATTTTTTATTAGAATTTCCCCACCGACACGCAAAGAACAGAATCACAATTTTTTCATTAAAATGACTCCTTTTCCTCCCCAGACGAAGAACAGAAACATCGTTTTTCATTAGAATTTCCTCTCCCCCCTAAAGAGACAGAAGCACTTGCCTGGCACCTCAGCAGAAAAATCCCACAAGCGCGCGCCTGGTAGAGCATCTCGTTCTGCGTTGCGTTTATGCCCCCCAGACGTTTTCTTTCGTCCCTAAGTGTGCTTTTGAAAATTAAATCCAATTCAATCCGATAAGTTCACAAACTTGTTAATTTTTTATTAATATATTTTCAAATGATATTTGTCTTATTTTTAGGCTTGATTATGTATTGTTAATTTTTTTTAAGAATAATTGTAATATGTTAGTTTAGTATTTTTGTAAATTGTTATTTTGGCTTTAATATGTTAGTTTGGTGTATTGTTGATGATTACTTTGGAATTTAAATTTTAGAATTATTTCACATACTATTTTGATATTTTTTTTATTAAGTTTATTATTTTATGTTTATATTAACCTCTATTCAGTATTACTAGATCTTACATATTATTATTTTTTAATAAAAAACAAGACTATATTTTCGGGAGTTTAATAAACAATGAGTCGAACAACAAATTTTTTAACGAGCATGAGTTAAGTAAAATTTTAACGAGCTTTACAAACAACGAGTCAAGTCGAACACAATTTAAACAATTTTTACGTTGAGTCAAGCACTACTAAACTCATGATCGACTCGTTCGATAAATACTCCCAACTTATAACTCCATTACGAGACAAACATGTTGTGTGTCGAGTGCCAATCCCCATATTTGCATGGGATCCATAGTGCTTGATCTGTTTTGCCGCAAACGAAGCCTAGCCATAAATGGTACTAGGAAATATGTGGACAGAACCAAACAATAAGATGTCATATAACCTTATTCTTCCTTATCCTCATTCTATCTCTCGAAGATAATAACTTCCCTACGTTAGATGCGGCCTCGCATGCTCTCGATCCTTTGTTGCGACAATTAGATCCGTCTATTTACATGTATAGTTTATGATACGTCATATAGGATCTTAAATTTTTGGGCCTCATATATAAATGTAATTTAAACTCGTTCATATATAATCTTTGTGCCCTAACGTCATTTTTATTGGAAGAAAAAAAATAAAATTTTCATTAATTTTAAAAAAATAGTAGAGAAAGTTATACATGAATATTTTAACATTATCTCAAAAGGGTTTCTTCATTATTATATATATATACCATGGTGGTGATCCTTCTATGCTTGAGCAGCATTAAATAACAAAGATTTTGGTCACACGTAAAATCAATTGTACCCCAAAAGTATTTCTTCATTACTATATATACCAACTATGTTTTATATTTTACATCTCATTTTGGCTAACCTAACCATTTATTCATATTTCATTGCTGATAAGTACTTAATTTAGTTAATATTTTACTTTTAAATTACTCCTTAATCATTGGTTTTTATAGCTTAATTGTTCGTTTTGATTAATTTTCTGTGTAGGACGTCAGATTCTGGAAATTACACAAAAATTACATAATTTTGCATTTTTTATTTTCGGAATCAAAACTGGATTAGTGAGCATGAATTCGGACATGAAACATCTAACGAGGCGATGACGTCAGCACCTTCTAGAAGATCCAGTCAGCGTTTCTAGAAGCACAAATGGATTGGCCGCACGTTTCTGGAATTCAGATTTGGATTAAACTCAAGTTTTAAGATAATATTTTAAACATTATATTTTATCTTTGTTTAGGTATTTTAATTTAAATAGGTTTTAGTATTTTAATTAAGTTTTAGGATATTATTTTTATATTTTATATTTTATATTTGTTTTATGTATTTTAGTTTAAATATGTTTTAGTATTTTAATTAGTATTTAAAATATTGTTTAAAATATTATTTTTGTTTTAGGTATTTTAGTTTAAATAGTTTTAATTGTTTTAATTAGGATTTAAGATGTTTTAGCTTGTTTTTAGGAATTTGAAGTCTGTAAATACCCTCTCAGGGTAAGCTTAGAAACATATCTCTCTCATCTAAGAATAAAATCTTCTTTTTCTCTCTAGCTTTCTCTCTATTTTCGCATACTCCTCTATTTTCTTTTAAATTTCGTTTTCAGCAATTGCTAAGTATAACTTTGGTCATGCTTAGTTAATTTTCTTTTAAGTCGAAGGCTAAAGCGAATGTTCAATTCCAAATGTGAGAATTGTAAATCACTTAAATCGCTTCGGGATTTTTCTCTCTGTTTTCCGAGCTTACTTTTCAAATCAAAACGATTTCGACATTGGTCCGGATGTTGTTATGATTAACGTTTGAAGAATGATTTGCTTATTGAAGCATATTCAACTTCTCGAGAACACACTTAGCAAAATTGTTTGCTAAGAGGAAACTGAGATCGGAATCAGTTATTGTTGAAACGACACAATCCGAGTTGGTAGCGAAGAATTGTCCTTGTAAGTCGACGTGAATCTTGAAGTAAAAATATGTTTCGATAATCCGAGGAATTTGAGGCAAAGCTGAAGTCTGAGGTTGCTTTCACAACAAATTTTCTTTATCCCAACTTAGTTATTTTATTTCTTTGTTTATTTAATTTTTATTTCATTATACTTCTTTAAATAATTTAAAACTCTTTTTATTTATTACTATTAATTTTTATTATTTTATTATTTTTCCTTTTTTTTAAATTATAATTATTTATTTTATACCTTTTCAACTTTACCTGGAATTCTATATTTTTTCTAAAATCAAGAAACAATTTTACTAAATCACAAAAATCTTAGTCCCTGTGGATCGACCATGCTTCTCTAGATTACCTTTTTCCTTTCTATTTAATTAAGAAGCCAGAATTATTTTGATAGCAAAACGACGGTTATCACAAGCTTAAAGAGTTCGTAATATTTTTTTAGAGTAAAGTACACAAATGGTCCCCGACTATAGGGTGTTACTTTGTTGAGTCTCTCGACTATTACAAGTTACAAAATGGTCACCCACTATTATGTTTCAAACTCGTCATTTTCAGTTAAAAAACTAACAACTGTCTGGGCTGGACGTTAACATGCTGGCTGAGGTATGATAGCGTTTGAGATTATGAGATCAGATTTTATGATATATCAGTCAACATGTTAACGTCCAGCTTAGACTGTTTTTAACGAAAAATGACAAGTTTGGAACATAATGAATAGTCGGTGACCATTTTGTAACCTTTAATAGTACTCGAGGGACTCAACAAAGCGACTCCATATAGTCGGGATCATTTTGTAATTTTTAATAATCAGGAAACTCAACAAAGCAGCGTTCGATAATCGAGGAACCATTTGTGTACTTTACAAGTTACAAACTCGTCATTTTCAGTTAAAATATTAACAACCGTATGGATTGGAAGTTAACATGTTGGCTGAGGTATGATAGTGTTTGAGATTATGCGATCAGATTTTATGATATCTCAATTAACATGTTAACGTCCAGCTTAGACTGTTTTTTAATGAAAAATGACAAGTTTGGAACATAATGAATAGTCGAGTTACCATTTTCTAACCTTTAATAGTACTCGAGGGACTCAACAAAGCAACTCTCTATAGTCGGGGATCATTTTGTAATTTTTAATAATTAGGAAACTCAACAAAACAACATCCGATAATCGGGGAACCATTTGTGTACTTTACCCATATTTTATTCGATATATCATATATGCATATGTTTACATCAGTATGAATATATCGTGGGAGTGGAAAAAAAGTCGAAAATCACCATTAAATAACAATTATTTATTAACCCGCAGGTACCTAGCATATGATTTGAGCTAACCAAAACGAAAAACACAATGGAGAGAGCTTTGATTAAGGAGTTTTGGCATTCAAAGTACCAAGCCTGAATTTTTCAATGTTCAACAGATTTTGTAACATGCATTATGGTTCTCTCCGGTTCCTACGCTCGGATTTTTTTTAAAAGTAATTGATCATTCAATTAGATTTCAATGACATGAAGAAGTACATCGTTTTTGATACATTCGAATTCCTGCGTTTGGTTTGGATTTCTAAGAAAGTTCCCACCCTTTATACATAATAAATCAAATTAAAAATCAACGTGACACTTCGGCAGCAAATTCAGAGAAAGCCTAAGGAGCGACCATCTAATTTAAGGCAAAAAACGACGGAAAGAGACACAACTGAAAATGTTATCTTTTTTCTAACATTTTAGGCGCAATATAAAATATTACATTCTTCATAGTATTTTCGGTTGGCAACTAAAATTGTTATCTTTTTTGTAACATTAATTAACCGATGTCGGGATCATTTGTATACTTTACCCTAGAATTAATTAACCTTTCATAAAGAGAGTCCAACAAATTTTAACATCAATAATATGGAAAGCATGAAGACAACACTCAATCATATATGTATTATTCATAAATGAAAACTATTCTATTTACTACATCTAGACATATATTGATAATTAATAATAAATAAATATATATATATTGATAAGCACGAACCAAGCGACTTCAATGATAAATGAATTGTTGTTGTTCCTTGGGGTTCTGAGTTCAATTACCATGAAAGTTAGGGTGCAAATGTTTAATGTCAAATAGTTAAGAGTTGTCATTGAACATATAATGTCTTGTACTTATCCTAAATTAATAATAATAATAATAATAAAATTATATTTAATTATTTTAATAATTAAAATAATTATTTTATTTAAATTTAAAATGATATAAATTAATTTTATTATTAATTTAAAATCTGCATATAACTCTAAATTATTATAAAAAATTATTTTTATATTTAATAAAATTATTAAGTAAATTATATTTACCACTAGAAGGAGCGAAGAATTAGAAACACAAAATTACCTTTGAGAAAGCGATTCTCTTCTTGTACCATATAAATTCTAGCAGGACAATCAATGGAGTAATGGCAATCTTAGCCATCTGATAAAATCCCACACTGAGGAAAAAAACAAATGAATTCATTTGTAAACTCAGAGTGTAACCCAGGAAACTGAAATTAGTTAGTAAACTTATTATCTCACCTATTGTACTTCAAGCTGACATTAGCAAGGCCAGTAGACACAGAGTTAACCAAGCCGAAAGTAAACAAATATGAAGGGGTCAACACTGATGAAGGAGATGCAGGAATGACAGAAAAGAATTTCAAACTTGCCATTAATCCCCAGCTGAAAGCATAATGAATAACAGTCAGAGATACTGGCAACTGGAACCCAACATTTTGAAGAACCTGCATGAACAAAACACAGTGGAGCATTGAAATGTTAAAATGCTTCTACATCTAAAACAGATTACATACACAAAACTAAGCATACAGACCCATTTGTTCATGAAAATGATGCCAACAGCAACCACTAAGTTGAAACTAAGAGCAGCAAGAGGGCCAAAAATTCCTCCTTGTTCGTGCTTTACACCTCCGGATGAAGAAGCTTCACTGTTCTTTGAATCTCTACCTTTATTCGAAAGGCAAATATATGGAAATGTTCAAATATATAAAATGTTTAATTTATAGAATTTTCAAACGTTAAAAGGATGTTATTGCCTCCATTGACCAAAATGCAACAAGGGTGGCGATTGGGGATATGATGTGCAAATGAAATTTGGGGTGACCATTCAATTGAGTCGAATCAAAAAATTTTGAATTGTTCGAGTTGACGAGTCGTATTTTATGACTCGAAGTTAACTTACAATTTTTTCGAGTTGAGTCGGGTTGTTTGAATTTCTATAAAAATTTAATTATAATTATTTATAATATTATGGTACGAATTGGTTCCATTTTATCGATTTCTCTAATTATATAAGATTTTTATTATATATATTTATTTATTCATATTCTTTTCACATTATAATATTTTTTCAATATATTAAATACAATCTAAAATTATAAAATATATTTACAATATTATTTGTTAAAGAAAGTATTTTGAGGGTAAAGTATTGATCAAAGTATAAATGAGTCAATGAATTGATGGGAAGAAAGAATTTGAAAACAAATGCAGTCAAAAGATAAAATTGAGTAAAATACAAAGTTAAGAGACTAAATTCAAAAAGAGAAAAAATTTTAGTAAAAAAAAGAGAAAGAATTGACATTATATAGGTATTCTATAGTGGTACAGGAACATGTGATTCAAATTTGGTCAAAAAAAGACTTAAAATGAAGAATGAATTGAAGAAATAAGAAAATTATGAAAAGTTGAGGGACTAAATTGAAAAATAAAAAATATTATCAAAAAGAGGAATTGAAAATAAATAGGTATTCTACGACGGTTTAGGAGCATGTGGTTCAAATTCGGTAAAAATAGACTTAAAATGAAGGAGAAGTTGAATGAATAAAGAAATTAAGAAATAAATCGTAAAATTGTCAAAATACTAAGTCAAATTTTTTGTTTTTCTAGTGACTCTAAATTTTCAAATTTCAACTCGACTCGTACTCAAAAAATCGACTCGATAATTCGAGTTAACTCGAAAAACTCGAAATTAAAAAAAAAATTGATTTTTAGAGTTGAGTTTTGCTCACCTTTAGATGAAATATGAGATTCCTTAAATGGTTCAAATAGAATATGTTGATAAATGGAGGTCCTAACATCCAAAGGACTATTGTAAAGAACATAAATGTGAGTTGTACATATCGGTAGGGAGAACTAAATATGCTTAAGCCACAAATAAAGGCTAATTCGCCATACATGTAGTAACCAAACTTACAACATCTCATCCAAAATTTCGAAATTAAATACTAACAGAGTTGTCGATGGGAATTCTAATAAAAACAGAAGAAACCAAAACTGGGGAATTAATAGCTTAACAGCAAGCAAATTTCAAAGTATAAAAGTGAAAACAAATTACCTTATTTAGGTTTTTGGTTCTTGGCATCTTTACTAAAGAAAAGAGCCGAAATCTGATTAAGGCGATGCATTTTTGGAGTTGAAATTTGATTTACAAGGAGCAGACGACCATTGCAATGGAATTCAAAAACAAGCAACCGTTAGGAAACTGTATGTTGACCTGCCGGCCGAGGTCTTTGTTTTTTCTTATTTTTAAATTAAAATTACATTTTGCTTCGGTCCTCTGAGTCGATATATATATATTACATCTTGAGAACTTAAGCATTGATAGAGATGTAAAATGCTTACCTAATTTGATCTGCAAAATTGATTGAAATTGATTTAAGTTAAAATTGTTTATGATGTGAGGTGGTGATTATCTAAAATAGATTCGAATTCGAATCGGTGTTGATCTGAATTCAAGTTGAACCTGATAATTTTGAACCCGACCTGCATCCAACCTGAGATGAACCTGAACTTGACTTAAACATGATAATATAATAACTGAATCCAACTTACATCCAACATGATATAAACTCGAATAAGAGATTAACTTAATAAATAACTGATATTATTTGATCTGTTATAAATTTAACATGTTATGGATCTGACTTGTAATTGACACGAACTGTAAATAATTCGACTTATAAAGCGTTATGCATATACCCAAAAAAAATCTGACTATTCAGTTAGCTTTTCTAGAAGCAGTCCACATATAAACAAGAAGCAAAAAATAGAGGCACATGAAGCACTCAAAAACAACATATACCATCAAAAAGACAGAGCAACCCAAAATTGAAAGCTGAATTCAATAACAAAAGAAACAATAATGATTACTAATCTGCACTGCAGGAACAAGCAGCAGTAAGGTTCAACTTAAATACTAGTTTACTAGGTGATGAAGAGAGCAAGACAAATCATTAACCAACTAGGCTTTTCTCCTTTTTCTTATCCTTGACCTTCATGTCAACAGTCCTTAACTTATTTAGAGCAGTCTTCTTTTTCTTGGTCGAGATATTGTCAGTCGTGATTTCATTTTTTGCCCCATAATTGGAGTCATTAATATTCTCTTGATCATCCATGTACTGAACTTCATGTATCCTCCCCTTGTTTTTCTTCTTTTGACGTGAAACATCTTCTTCCTCTTCTTCGACTTGTTTTTCCTCCCTAGAAGTAGGGTTATCAGCTTCGGCCACAATCTTCGAACGCAAATCAGGCATAGACTGATAAATAGGTATAGCCAAGCTGTAGAGCAATTTCAAATGAAACGACCTGATACAGCCCCACTTACTCGGAACAAAATCCGCAATCCCATTAATAGCAGCTAACACGTTTAAAACAATCTCCTTCTTCCCCAGCGAAAGCTTAGCCACCTTCACCACGCAGCAAGTCCCACTATCCAAGAAGAACATGGCAGAGGAACAAGCCTTCTCAATCTGCTCCTTCCAGTTTTTGTGCTTAAGATCCACGGGCACTGTCTTCTTCTTCTTGAAAAACTGTTTCCCCAGTAACCGAGGCAGAAGGGGAACGATCCTCTTGTCAACGAAGAACATGTCGTATGAATCGCAGAGCTTTCTTTTGGCCTCGAAGGGCTGAAAATCAGTCTTGATCTTTGACAGCTTGATCACCTTGGTGATGGGTATGTTTTCGGACTTGATTTTCTTGGACGCGTCGTCTTTGGTGATGCCTGACTTGGGGCGGTCGTCGATGAACACGCAAAACTCGGCTGGATACGTGGAGGCGTCGATGAAGGGTGCGGCAGAGGCACCTTCATTGGATTAACGAGGGGATTCTGAGGAATTTTCTTGAGGCTGACGATGAGATTTAGCAATTCATCCTCCTCAAGAAGTTGGGGGTGTTGGAGATGAGACTGAGCATTTCTGCACTTTAGGAGAGCAGTCACAGCTTTCTCCACCACCGTTACCGTCGCCACCATACCCTACTCTGCTTTCTCCTCGCCAGAATTTCTCCTTCCTCCTCCACTATAGAGTTTTTTTTTTTAGGGCTTTCAATTTTTTAACTTAATTAATAATATATATTAATTTTAGAATATCTTTTACTTAATTAATAATATATATTATTTTAAATGAAGTTTATATTAAATAAATAAAAATAAGTTAATTATTTCTTTATATGTTATGTGATATAAATCTATATTATTTATCTATATTTTAAAATATATTAAAAATAATAAATAATAAATAAAAGTAATAAGTAAAAATAAAAATATTATTTCTTAAGAGAGTTAATGTAAAAATAAGTTTCTAAACTATATACTAAGTTAATTTTATATGCCTAAAAAATCTTCGTTAAAAATAGGTGTTTAACGTTTTCTCTGTTACACTTTTAGGTGTCTAACGTTTTCTCAGTTATATATTAGGTGCTTATGTAGTAACAGTTATTAAACAAAACTGTTAAGTGATAGATGTCATGTTTATAATTTGGCTTAATGAAAAATAAGTATCCAAATTATACCCTAAGTAAACTTTAGGTGCCTAAAGAAATTTTTGCTAAAAATAAGTATTTAATGTTTGTGATGTTACATTTTTAGATACTTAGGCTGTGACGACCATTAAATTCAATCATTATTTGATATGTGTCATATTTAATTTTTTAAAAAAATTTATATTTATATAAAATATTGGTAAAGAAAAAATTCCCCTCCCACCTACGCAAAAAAAAGTTCTCCCCCTCCCTAGTTGCATTAAAAATCCCTCTATCGTCCCCGTAAATCTCTAAAGTTAATTTAAGGTGAGAATGATAAATTTGAAATTAAAGTTAGAGATTTATGTATTAGGTTTAGGGATTTAAGTTTAGATTTATAGATTTAAGGGGATTGGGACGACAACAATATGATGATCAACAGTGAAGATTCGGTGACGGGTGAGTGGTTGTTCAACTATGGTGAAGGGTACCGGTGATGGCCGACGACAACTAATAATTGGGTTATAATGAGATATTTCAAGGTTACAATTTTTTTTATAAGAAAATGGTTTTTTATTCTTAAAAATTAATAATATTAAGTTATTTTAAAAAAAAACAAAAATTTCAAAAAATATAAACAAACATGGGTCACTTAATGATTTTTTAACAGTCATTATTATGTATACACCTAAAAGTGTAACAATTGAAACGTTAGATATCTATTTTAACAAAAAATTATTTAGACACCTAAAGTTAACTTATGATATAATTTAGAATATAGTTTGGACACTTATTTGTGTATTAAGCCAAAATATAAACATGATATGTGTTACTTAATAGTTTTTTAAATGTCGTTACTACGTAAGCACTTAAAAATGTAACGAATAAAATTTTATGCACCTAAAAATATAACGTATAAAATATTAGACACTTATTTTTAACGAAAAATTCATTAGACACCTAAAGTTAACTTAAAATATAATTTAAACACTTATTTTTTACATTAAACCTTCTTAAAAAATTATAAGTGTAGTATAGCATCTTTTGTAATAGGTAATCGTTTAGGTTTAAGTTCAATTAAGATTCATATGCAAAATAACCAAGTCCAAATCCAGTTTAGGTTAACACTAGATAAGACTTCAATCGATTTCAAATCATCCTCTCAAATTATAAGTAATTTTAACTCAAATTGATTTTAGTTAATTTTTAAAGTTGGGTGAATTTCTTACATCCCAATCGTTGTGTAAGTTTATTAAAATCAATTCAAAACTCAAAGAACAGAAGAAACTAGCAACTTGTGAAGAAGAAAACGAGTTGGGGAGAATGTCGTTTAGAGGGAAGAGAAAAGACGGGGAGGATCACTCTTCTAACGCGAATGATGTCCACGCGCCTCCCATGAAAACCTCCAAGTTTTCAGCCGCCGATGACGATTCTGATGATTCCAACGACATCGTTGTCTGCGAGGTCACTCTCCACATCCTCTCACTATTTCTTAAATTTGATGGCTTTATTTATCCAACATATGCGTCCCTAGGGTTTCGTATTTAGCGTTTTGTTTTTTCTATTTTTTGAATTTTGGTTTGAACGAAGTTAATGAGAAGTGAATTTCCTCCCCTTTTGGGGCTGCAGATATCGAGGAATAGAAGAGTTTCAGTGAGGAACTGGAACGGAAAAATTTGGGTTGATATTCGTGAATTCTATATCAAGGATGGAAAGCAATTGCCTGGCAAAAAAGGTCTCTTCTTTGTTTTATTTCCAAAGATTATGATTTCAAGTGTGCCTTATTTCTATATATATTGTTTAGATTTGAAGTTTGATTTACTTAATCAATCTCTGACATGTTATACATGGGTGTTTTAACTGAGAAGGAGAGTTCCATTTTTGTGTTATTTTGTTGTATTCATTACCACTTCCTTGCAAACATTTTTTATTTTCTTGAGCATATCGGTCTATTTTTTCAGTGATAGTTGAATCTAAAGTATAAAGGTAATGTTGAGTGTGGTTTTCAACTTCCATTCAGATTGGCCCTTTTTATTACTTCCAATTGGCTTAGTTTAGATTAAAAATAGTACTCCTTTTTTTGCTTGTAGTTTGTTATTCGTTGCCTTCTGTCTTGTTTTTGTGACCAACATTAATTTGATTTCTTCATTCAAATATCTCTATTAACGTATATCATCGGTTAAAGTTTATGTATCCACTTGCATCTTCAAAAAAAACCTGTGCATGAATATTTTGTTTATTATTCAGGAGATTTAACATTGTCATTTTTTTCACTACTAGTAGAAACGTTATAATAAAAGAAAGTAGAGTGGAACTTGAGTTAGAGGGACCTTTTAACCCTGTTTACCTTGAAAAAGAGTTTGCCTAGGCAGAAAAGGTGTTTGTTTGATTGAAGGTGCCTGAACCAAAGTGGCGAGGGGCATAATAGATGGTTTGCTTATGACTTGGAACCAAGGCGTGCATCTTCCAACACTGCATACTCCAAATTACAAGTGGTATCCTTTGTTGAGATTAAAGCACCGGTTTTCCTAATATTAATTTGGTTAATGAGTGTATTTCAACCAACATAAATAGACTTTTTAAAGTTGAGAATCCCTGTTATTTGTATCCTATATAAGGAGAAATCCTTATTTGAAGAAGTTATAGCTTGTTCATAAATTTTTGAGTGGGAAATTTTGTTTTGGAAAAGTTTGACACACTCTCTCTCTCTCCATGCTTATCTTGGTGCACACTGGTATTCTTGTTGTTGATGCTTAAAAGCATTTGAGAATTTTATTTTCTGAAGCTTAGAGTTAGTATTTTTCTTTCTCATTTGTTAATATTCGTGAACTAACATCTTATGCTTCTTATAGGTATTTCCCTGAGTCTGGATCAGGTATGAATTATAAAGTTTATGCTCTGTCATGATGATTATGAAGACATTTTTCACTTATTCGATTTTCTTCTTAATCAGTGGAATACTCTACGAGATCATGCAGATGAAATTGATAAGGCACTGGGCGAGAACTCTTAGGAAGTAGACATGGTGTACCATGTACTGAAGATGACATGAGTATAAGGTGTCGGGCCATCTCTTATTTTTATTGTTGGAGGCTGAGGTTTTGTTCTTAACCGAACCCCATGTTGACTTGTTTTTGAAGTTTCTAAACTTAAAAGGTTCCATCAGGCTTGTACCCCCTTTTGTGTAATTAGTTGTGTCGACTAATATGTGTTGTATCTTGATGTTGGATGATATTAACATGATCAGCAAATGAAAACTTGGAGGGAATGTAGGCATCTATAGCCGTAAGTTTCAACTGTTGCAACAATATTCATGCATTTAGCAGCTGCAGGTACTAAAATTGTGGAATATAGGCTTGAGAGAGACAGAGAGAGAGCTCTTAGTTGAAATCTGTATTCATTTGCCATTGTGTTTAATTGAAACGGCACAGCCTTTTTAAACAACATTACCAAGTTTTAACCTCATTGATTCTCAAACTTTTAACAATCTTACTGATGAGGTGTTAATGCAATGGAGAGAAGATACCATTTTGGGAAGAATCTATTCCTGTCGTAGTTGATACTATTTGTGTCATTCATAAAAGAGGGCAAGAGGGTATTGTACTTTAGAGAAAAAAACCAACGTGGCCCTTGAATTATTTTGAGCCTAACATGGCCCTCCATTTCAGAAAATAAACTTAATATGATACTTTGTTCGATATTTTTTGTTATTGACCGTTACGATACTGATGTGACAATTCATAATTCTAATGTGATGATTCATAATTTTGATATGGAGGTTCATGTTGACTGTTCTTTTATTAGTGGTTAACAATGTAATATATGTTTTTGTCGGGGTGATCATTGTTAATTTGATATTCTTTTAAAAAGGACATACATAACGGATCGTAAATTAAATAAAACTCAAACTCATAAATTTTTAAAATTAAAACAATGCATATTCGATTATGTATCAATTTTGAGCGTTATGGGGTGCTAATTATTCTTTACACGTAATCGACTTACGAACTTATTTTCTGATTTCACATATCAAAAATTTATTATTTTAGTAAAATTAAAAGTTTTACTAAAATAACAAGATTTTTAGGTGGTTCAATCTCACCTCAAAAATGATTGGTGTCGACTTCATTTTTTTATATAATTTCAAAATCCGGCGGCCTTTTAAGTATTGTTTTGAAAAATAACCAACAAAAGCCTTAGAAGAGTTGGCCTCTTGGATTCACTAAGCTAATTACAGATAAAGATCGCAGGGTAGTGTTAAACGAAACACGTAACTGTGTAAATTACATGTACATACTTGAACATGGTTTACTCCGGGGAAATGGAGGATTCACTTGGTTTCGAAGGCAAAGCAAACGACTGTGAGTGCACCAGTATTGACCACAACACTTGAACATGACTTCTCATCCTTGTACAGTATGTACGTCCCTCTTCCTGCAGTGTCAAACCAACGTGGCGATCGTTATTTCACAGTTTAATCGACTGAAACACAATATACGAAGAGGAAAGGAAAACCTACCTCTGGTGGGCGGCAATGCAGGCGATCCCAAAGCCTCTTGAAAGGGGAGAAGATGGAGTGAAACCACCCCATTTGGAGTCGTAGGGTAGGTGATGGTTTGGAAGGAAATTAAATATAATGGTGTGTAGGTTTCTTAGAGACAGGCTTACTTGTGTTTTACAGATTCTATGAACGTTTTCTAATTTGTTAAGCAATTTAATTTAGGGCAAATTACAAAAATGGTCGCCCGACTATAAAAAATTATTTTATTATGTCCCCGACTATTAAAAATTATAAAATGACCCCCAACTATAGAGAGTTATTTTGTTGAGTCACTCGACTATTAAAAGTTACAAAATGATCACTTGACTATTAATTATATTCTAAACTCGTCATTTTCTGTTAAAAAATTGACCACAATCTGGGTTGAACGTTAACGTGCTGATTGAAACATGATAAAATATGATCTTATAATCTCAAACAACTATTATATCTTAATCAACATGTTAACGTTTAACTTAGATGACCGTTAATTTTTTAACAGAAAAAGACGAGTTTAAAACATGATGAATAGTCAAGTGATCACTTTGTAACTTGTAGTTGTCGATGGACTCAACAAAACAACTCTCTATAGTCGGGAAACCATTTTGTAACTTTAATAGTCGGGAGACTCAATAAATAATATCATATAATCGGGTGATCATTTGTGTACTTTACCCTTTAATTTAAAAGTGGGTAATGTGGGTGCTCTGTCTGTCACTCCTAAATTTGATTTAAAACCAAATTTGCACTCATCTCCATGTAAGTCATAGTTCCACACTCGGAGAAGGAAATTTGTTGTAATTTTGTGGACATTTTACAAGCATGCAGCTTCATCTCAAAGTTTTTTGCTCCTTAGAAAAATACAGAAACATAATCCATTACTGTTCTGTGAAAGTAAACACTTGAACAGCTCTTCAAGCTGTTTCAAGATATCAAGGACCATTATTTGCCAAACTGAATGTCATGTAGATAACAGTAAATGTTTGGATGTGTAGGTAAGATTGATGGTAACCAAGAAACCTCGCTTCATCAAGTCAGATATATACTATCTAAGACTGCAAATCCGGCTGCCACCCCTCCTTCGTTTGATGATGATACCTTGGTCCGCATCAAGTAGCCACATTGGTCATTCATGACAATGTTGTCCTTATTCCTGCAAGTGCAAACTGGGGAACTTTACCATGCATCCCAAATTATGAAGCTTTAAAGATACTTGTGTCCGAAAAATGTTTGGACATAGTGATATAACCTTCCAAAAATCCTCCAAATACATGTAATACATACAACATAATGTATCCATTTCAGATACATACCCACGATCGAGATTTGATAAGTGAAGATGGAACTTAACAGCATTATATGAAAGGACACTAGCTAACATAAACAGATGAAACAAAACCACAAAGATGTACCTTAAGTAAGCACTGTATACTCCAAGCTCTGATATGGCATGATCTTTATGACAAATTCCATCACGAATCAAATATGTTGGAGAAACAGCTGGGAAAATCCTTTGCATAAGTATGTATGCAGCATCTTCTTCAGACCCTTCCTTTTGCAAGCGTAGAAGGGTTTCTTTCACATCATCACCATAGATATTGTTCCCTGAAGTGGAACCGAAGACTCAATTCTCAACTAAAAGAATACAATGAATATACAGTATTTATATCATAAAGTATTAAGATATGGTACCTCCTTCTCTTTGGGGCTTCATAACAAATAACTCGGTTCTTCTTCCTTTTGGTGATGCCTGATTCAACCAAACTCCACAATCCAGCAAAGCATTTCCGCAGTTTGGCAATATCCTCTTTGTTCTCAAGGAACCTACTTGCATGGAGGAGAAAAATAAAGGAAAGCATACAACTCAAAGTAATTGTAGTTGTTCGTTAAAAAAATTAGAATACTGTAATTGCATTACTAAGAAAACAACATGCTTTAATCTTTCAAGTTTCTAGTTTAATAAATATTGGGGTTGCTTATCCCAAGAAAACAATATGCTACAATTTTAAAGCAACTCCTAGCCCCTGGCAGTAAATCTTTCAAGAGGGTGTTTCTTAAGTGTAAGTAATAAATCCATCGATAACTTAAGACAGAATTGTGGGATTATTTACCTCTCAAGCACATTAGGTTTAGCAAGTTCTTGTTGAATCTTCTTAGTTCCTGCTAAATGATATGATATTGATGGACATTTGATAGCTGAAGACTGCTCCATTAGCAGGTGGCTCTCCACTCCTATAAATTGGAAATGTAACAAACACATCAGAAGTAAAGAAACTTATTTTTAGCTCAGATTTAGAGTCATACTTAGACTCAAAATGCTTCGATTTTAGTGTTTCAATATGACTCAAATACGTTAGTTTGTTTTCTGAATCTTACTAAATCAGAGTTGTTGAGTGTGGGGCCTATAAAAATAATAAAATAAATAATAATAATAATAATAAATAAATATATAATATAATAAAATATTTTTGTAGATCCGAACAAAAATAAGTGTCTAAAAATATGCATGCTTATATTTATGAACCTTATGAAATATAATAGAGTAGATGTATACACACTGCGCTTAATAACTCATCTTTTTAAATTATTACAACTTCTTATAGGTTTAATAGATTGCGATGTAACAATGATGAAGACTTGAGTGGGTATATAGAGATTGTGATTTTTATGCGAGTCAATTATACATTATTTATTTATATATTTTAGTTTTCAAATAAAGGAGCTTCGTTTTTATACATTTGTATATCTTCAGATGCCGAGTAAATGATTTGTGTGACATTCAAATCCTTAAAATTTAAGTGTTATATAATGAATCCATAACCAAATATTAATTTAATTATTTTAAGGGTGCGTTTGATTCACGGAATGTAAGATTATCAGTGGGAATAAAAGATTACCAGGGAATATAATTACTGTGAATGCTGTATTTTGTGTTTGGTTGGTTTAACATGAATGTAAGATTATTGTGTTTGGTTAAAGGAATAAAAGATTATTAGAATGTATATTTGACCAAATTATCCTTATTATATATTTGTTTTTTAACAAATTGAAAAATATTTATATATTTTCTTTAAAAAATTTAAATTCATAATTTTCATAATTTTTTTACAAAATTTAAAATATAAAAAGATTTAATGAAAGGGTAAAATTTTATTTTAACCCCAGAACTTCATATAAAATTTTAATTATAGATATTTTTTGTGAATCTAAAATAATTTAAGGATAAATTTGTAATTTAACATTCGTAGAATTTTTATTATTCAATGACAGAATAAGGATATTTTTTAAAGAATTTTTTAAGGGCATTTTAGTCCAAAACGCCGATAATCCAACAATACCTAAGGAAAGGGAGATAATGACATTCCCGGTAATATACCCAAAAAATCAACTATTGGTAATGTAAGATTACCGGGAATGACATTCCCGGCCAACCAAATGGGGGAATGTGGATTCTATTCCCATGAGAATCTCACATTCCCCCAACCAAATACACCCTAATAGGGTCACGGTCCCAAAATCGGATAACTTAGAATTTTCTTGTTCAAAAAGAAATCAGTGTGAAAATAACATTCCACAAAAAATATTAATTAAATCTTGATTACTGTGATTTAAAAATAAAATTCAATTTGTGTCGCTAGTGCTCAA